TGGGTGATAGACAAGGATTCGAGGGCTGGACAAAGGTCTGGATAGATTGCCAGACGATAACAGAGCTCGGTTATTCTACTTGTAGCATCATGATTGAATAGAGATAGCTTTCTCAAACGAGAAAATCCTGAAAGAGTGTTTGAAAATAGCTCGACGGGAATGATCAGGGTCTCGACACAAGGCCAAGATTCGTCATTCAAACCACAATCGGTTTCAGCCCCTTGAGAATAATAGCGTATACTGACATCTCGAGCTTTTTTGTTTGAAAGTGTCATAATGTTACCCCCTTCCGAGCAAACGAGCGTCAGAATGTCGCAAGGCGGCAAATCTGACAGATGAATGGGTACATCTGTTTCAATACGAAGTCGTTGAAGAGAATGGAGCTGATAGATCTCCCCTATATCAGCTATCTCACTAAGAGAGTTCGTTTGGTGTTTGTAGAAAGTAGTATTGAGATCTTGAACAGCTGGAAAACTCCTGATTACTAGACTTGTAAACCCTCTTGTTTTCTGTAGCGCTGCTGGCACGTCTATGGCATCACTTTCATATGGATATCTTGACCATCCCTGGAAGAGACTCAAATCAAGTATCTTGACAGCCTCGTTAGTGGGGAATGAAGAAGGTAGGTCAACCATCGCTGTCATTGGAAGGATGATCAACAGTCTTAGGCGTAGTCGTTGGAGACGAGAAAGTCGATCAATACTGGCTAAAAGTCGAACGAGAGCTGTAAGCCCTCCCTCGACGGATAAGTAGACAAGTCCGGTTATATGCTCTGTAATCCCAATAGAGAGCGGTAAATCGAGGCGAGAGGTGTGCAATACCTCCAGATTTAGTGACTTCTTGACGAATGGGGCGGTGCTAGATGGACTATTTGTCTCTGGTATCGAAGGGTTGTATCTCAGCCACCTCAAAGATTCATCGGATTCGACCAATGGCCATACCGATCTGAGATCCTCACTGATGCTGATGCGCTTGCAATTGCGGGACATCAGGGACTGAATATGTTCCTTTCCTACTATGAAGCCGTCACCCAACTCACGTAACTTGGGAAACGTATCCAAGACGTACTGAGTGGCCAAACAGTAAGCGCCTCCAGCGTTATAATCTAGGCTCTCTAGTGCAGGAAGAGGGAAAAGGTCTCGCATAATATCTTGGAACCTTTGATTTGAGTCAATTATGGGCATATTAGGGTTGTAACCATAGACGACGCGAACGATTCGGTTACGATGTTTCAAAAGCTCTCGCCAGAGCTCGGACCTTTGGACCTCGGCGGAGTATACAATATAAACAGTGATTGGTAGCTGTTTAGAGAGTTGCAAACATGTCCATGCTTTTGAGAAGTTGTCAGACACCCTTTCATCTATGTATATAAACGTCCAGTAGGTAGGAGTGTCGGTAATGAACTTCATCCATCGCTGAGATACTAGGGTCAGATGTAACAGAATAAATAGATCCGTTGAATGACCCAGAGGGTACCACAGATCGGGTCCGAGCTCGACAGCAGCGACTTTGCGAATGATCTTGGCGAACAGTTCGGGAGGGAGCTTATCGATGGGATCTGAGCAAGGTTTAGGCCTCAATCTGTCGATAGAATCCACAATGCTATTATATTGAACTTTTTTGGCTCGAATGATATCCGAATCGACATCTCCCATCTCCTGTAGCTGACGTATCGAGGTAAGAATAACCGAGCTCTGTTATCGTCTGGCAATCTATCCAGACCTTTGTCCAGCCCTCGAATCCTTGTCTATCACCCA